AATAAATAAATTTATAAAAACTATATAGAAATATTTAAAAAATAAAAATTAATAAGACAAAAAACACAACTAAATCCCCAAAACTAAAACTAAAGTGAAAATATAAAAATAAAGACTAATAAATAGAATTTAATAAAAACTATATAGACATTTAAAAACAAAAATTAATAAAAATGACAAAAACACACAACAAAATTACTAAAACTTTAATTAAAATTCAAGTGAAAAAGGAAAATATAAAAATAAAAATTTATGAATATATAGACTATATAAACTATATAGACATATTTTTAAAAATCATAAAAATAACAAAAAACACTAAAAAAATACTAAATCTTTAACTGAAATGAAAGTGAAAACAGAAAATATAAAAATAAAGACTAATAAATAAATTTATAAAAACTATATAGAAATATTTAAAAAGAAAAAATTATAAAAATGACCAAAAAAAAAGCACTACAAAAATACAAAATCTTTAACTGAAATTAAAGAGAAAACAGAAAATATACAAATAAAACGAATAAATAAATGTATAAAAACTATATAGAAATATTTAAAATATAAAAATTTATAATGACAAAAAACACAAAAAAATCACTAAAACTAAAGTGAAAATATAAAAATAAAAACGAATAAATAGAATTTAATAAAAACGATATACATTTAAAAACTAAAATTAATAAAAATGATAAAAACACACAACAAAATGACTAAAACTTTAATTAAAATTCAAGTGAAAAAGGAAAATATAAAAATAAAAATTAATAAATATATAGACTATATAAACTATATAGACATATTTTAAAAAATCATAAAATTGACAAAAAAACACTACAAAATACTAAATCTTTAACTGAAATGAAAGTGAAAACAGAAAATATAAAAATAAAAACAAATAAATAAATTTATAAAAACTATATAGAAATATTTAAAAAATAAAAATTAATAAGACAAAAAACACAACTAAATCCCCAAAACTAAAACTAAAGTGAAAATATAAAAATAAAAACGAATAAATAGAATTTAATAAAAACGATATACATTTAAAAACAAAAATGTATAAAAATGATAAAAACACACAACAAAATAACTAAAACTTTAATAAATAATAAATAAATAATAAATATATAGACTATATAAACTATATAGACATATTTTTTTTTTTAATCATAAAAATGACAAAAAAACACTACAAAATACTAAATATTTAACTGAAATGAAAGTGAAAACAGAAAATATAAAAATAAAGACTAATAAATAAATGTATAAAAACTATATAGAAATATTTAAAAAATAAAAATTAATAAGACAAAAAACACAACTAAATCCCCAAAACTAAAACTAAAGTTAAAATATAAAAATAAAAACTAATAAATAGAATTAACTATTAGAAAACTATATACATTTAAAAACTAAAATGAATAAAAATGACAAAAACACACACTAAAACCTTAACTAAAATGTAACCATTAAAATTTGAGACTGAACAGACGTCATTTACACCCACTACTAGGCATTAGATCTGTATGTTATGTGTATTTCGGCTCAGCAGCGAGTGAGACGTTACCCTGACACGCCCGTCCGTCTCCAGAGAAGCCCGGCAGACACGAGCAGATATAAGACGAGTCTCCGGTGTAGCTGCATCTGGAGCGCTCGGGAGCGTCGCAGTCATGCGTTCCTCTCTGACAGTGATCCACGGGACGCTCCGTCTCTGCACGGGACACAGGCACAACAAGCTCAAACGCCGCTCAGAAGGGGTTTGGTCACATGGGAGCGTGTCTCCCAAACACAGGCTCTTACCGACGCAGGTCCGTCCATCGCCGGCGAACTGAAAACCCTCCACACACTCACAGCGGAAAGATCCGGGCTGGTTGCTGCAGATGCTGTACGGACCGCAGATCTGAGGGCTTTCTGAGCACTCATCAACATCTGACAAACAAAGATAGAAATTCATATATGTGACCCTGGAGCACAAAACCAGTCATAAGGGTCATGCAATTCGTACATCATCTGAAGCTGAATAAATAAGCTTTCCATTGATGTATGGTTTGTTAGGATAGGACAATATTTGGTCGAGATACAACTACCGGTATTTGAAAATCTGGAATCTGAGGGTGCAAACAGAAAAGAGCTCAAAATAGGTTTAAATTTTGACGTTTTTTTTAAACGTACAAACAACAGTTCTTATATACAATCTTCAATGTGATTTCCAAACAATATAGGTATTTTAAAGGCCAGTGCTGAAGCTGAAATCAACATAAAATAAAGGCAGTGCAAGGAATTAATACCATAACGTACAAATACTTCACTATTTAAAGCATATTATATTATTTTTCTATATTATTTTTCAAAAAAATTTTTATTTTTTTTTCTTCCATTCTAACATTTCTCTATTTCATTCTAAACTACTTAGTGTTGCTTTCGTACTGTTTCATATAATGTTTTTGTATATAAAACAGCTAAAAATAATATATTTACATATATAAAATTTTTACATTTGTTATATATTTACATACATATAATAAATAATGAAAAATATAAAATTAATATATATTAAAAATACATTAAAAACAATATAAACATACAGTATATATTATATTTTAATAATATATTTAAAAATAACATTCCTATATATTATATAATATATATTAGTTGAATGAGATTTTGAATGAGAATGAGATTTTTTTTTATTTTAGGGTGAAATATAACCTATATTTATACCTATTATATATTATAACCTATAACAAGTTCTGGACATTTTTTTTGTGATTTACAAATTAATAAAGTGAATCGACTTTAAACTCTATTTATTTTAGATCACTCAGGGTTTTTGAGATGAAGCACTTATTAGAAAGAGCAGCAATAATTCATTTCTGTGTATATGCTCTGAAATATGTAAGTGCAGTTAATAACAATAACGAGACCCAGATCTTCTCAAAAAGGGGGACAAATTGTGGACCAAATCATGCAGAAAGTCCTGGAGGCTAAACGTGTTTTATTTGCACTAAATCCCAAAGAGAGGAAACCTCCCATGAATTAAACACTGTATATACAGTCAGTGTTTGCACTGGATCATCGAGCCGTCTGTGAACCAGGAGGAGCTTTGACATCAAATTAAATTATAATATAGTGACCCTGGAGCACAAAAGCAGTCTTAAGTCGCTGGGGTATATTTGTAGCAATAGCCAACAATACATTGTATGGGTCAAAATTATAGATTTTTCTTTTATGCCAAAAATCATTAGGATATTAAGTAAAGATCATGTTCCATGAAGATATTTTGTAAATCTCCTACCGTAAATATATCAAAACTTAATTTTTGATTAGTAATATGCATTGCTAAGAACTTCATTTGAACAACTTTAAAGATGATTTTCTCAATATTTAGATTTTTTTGCACCCTCAGATTCCAGATTTTCAAATAGTTGTATCTCAGCCAAATATTGTCCTATCCTAACAAACCATACATCAATGGAAAGATTATTCATTCAGCTTTCAGATGATGCATAAATCTCAGTTTCACAAAAATGACCCTTATGACTGGTTTTGTGCTCCAGGGTCACATAATGATGTCTACAAGCAGAGAACAGCTAGATTTATCGGCGCTGAGATGAACGAGCTCTTCAGTAACTCAACGCAGACGTTTGAACACAAACACTGACCCAAAATATAAACCCGAGGATCGTTACCGTAACAAACCCGTCCGTCTCCGGTGAACCCAGCGGCACATTCGCAGGTGAAGTCTTTGCCTTGAGCGGCACGACAGACGGCATTAGTGTCGCAGCCGTGTCTCCCGGTGAAACAGGGATTCTGCTCCGGGATTCCACCTGAAAAACACCAATAAACAAAACCTGAAGCCATTCAAACCATAAAGCATTTAACCCCTTAAGTGCCACCCCCCCATTTTTGAACATAGACGTGAAAGTGCACCATCCAAACTTAAATTATTATAATTCATGCAAACTTTGGAATACAGACCTACGGTTGGACTCCTTTTTAAGAAGACAATCTGCAGATAACTATCATTTCAAAATATTAAAGTATCAACAAGTTATAGAAGTTTAAATTTACTGTAAAGAAAATGCATTGTACCAATTTTTATTTATTTATATAAAGTAAATATTTTACAAAAATATTTTTGAATCCAAAATTGACATAAAATTACAGCCTTGTGTCTAAATAAGTTATGTTCCAAATTTGAAGTTGATATTAAAAAAATGTATTTAAGGCGTTATACCACAAACAGCCACCGGGTGCCATCCAGATGCATTTTTCTGTCACAAAGGTCTAAATTTCTCGGTCAATATTACTTCTAACAAAAAATAACCACCAAATATGGAATCTTGAGACTCAGACCTTTCCAAATATATGTATTTTGTTCAAGATCATAAAAAAATTTGATTCTAAAAGACCGTAATACATTTTGTAATACGATACTTGACTCCAAGGGGAGGAGACTAAAAGATTTTAAAGTACCATTTCTATGGTAAAGTAATGTCCGACTTAAAAATGGCTTTCACAGGATGAATTCTGAGGTTTTAAGCTTTCAAATGATATATCATTTATGATTTCTAAAATATGTGATAGAGAAAAAAGACAACAACAAAAAAGAGCGCCATTGGGCCCACCTGTGGGCCGGTGGCACTTAAGGGGTTTTAAATATGAAACCACATCAAAAGCAGAGAGCCGAAGCATCCTCTTTCACTCTATTCTGAAACATAAAATACTCAACCTCTTTCATTTAACCATTAAAACGGACCAATAAAAGAAGCCACAAAAATACGAGCTCCTTTTTTAACCCTGTCCTTTCCATGCATCATTTACCCACAGCAGTGATACAAATCACTACTACAACAAATTACTATAACCTCAACAAAACCTCCTCAATATCACCACATAAGAAATTATTAATTATAACCTACAACTCCTATAATATATTCAACTTACAGTACACTGTAAAGCAATACATAACAAATCTCAACTACAAGTAGTAAAACATTTATACATACACTGCCGTTCAAAATTTGGGGTCAGTAAGAATTTTCATATTTTATAAAAACGTTTCTTCTGCTCATCAAAGCTGCATTTATTTGATTTAAAAATACAGTAAAAATTTTGAAATATTATTGCAATTTAAAAATACTGTTTTTTATGTGAATATCTGTTAAAATGTAATTTATTTCTGTGATGCGCAGCTGTATTTTCAGCATCATTACTCCAGTCTTCAGTGTCACATGATCTTCAGAAATCATTCTAATATGCTGATTATTATCAATGTTGGAATATTTAAACATTTTTCGGAAGCTGTGCTACTTTTTTCAAGATTCTTTGATGAATAAAAAGTAAAAAAAAGAACAGCATTTATTCAAAATAGAAATATTTTCTAACAATATACACTAACGTTCAAAAGTTTGGATTTCACTATTTTTACTGTATGTTTTGATCAAATAAATGCAGCACTGGTGAGCAGAAGAGACTTATTGTAAAACCATTAGGAAATCTTACCGACCCCAAACTTTGAAACAGTAGTGTATGAGTCATTACCCAACACATATGTGACAGAACCCAGTGTTTAGTCGCTCTGTCGTGTGTTTCATTTGCTGTAGTTCTAGGTTTTCTTACTGTGGATGGAGCCGATCTTGTTGCTCATGGCGAAGCGGATCAGCTGGTTGCTGGAGTCGTACATGACGAAGATCTGGTCGACGCTGAGTTGTTGGCTCGCCGGCACAGCGCTCAGGACCTCCTCGTGCGGGCAGCTCTGGAACTTGATGTTCTGCGTCCACAAGAAGCTATGTGTGCGAACGCTACCGTCGGGCATGCTAACGATATAGTCCCGCCGCGAGGAGGACGTAATCACTGAGAACATCACAGAGAAGAGCGAAGACTGAAATAGAGAGGATGCCATTAAACCGCACAAGCTCATGTGTTCATATGTTTCATCTTTAGATTAAAAGGGTTTTTTAGGAGAACATAGAAAGCTGCTTGGCCTCAATTTCTGTTGTTAGTAAGATAAATGCATGGTGCCGAAGGGGCTGTTAACACAGAACGCAATATTGCATTTTTTAAAATGAGAGATGCCAGGCAATGGAATGAGAAAAAAAAATGCATTTTTAAAAATTTGAAATGCATTTTTTAAAATTTAAATTTTAAATGTTTTTAGAATGCAGCATCATGAATGATGCAAAAGATGCGAGGGCAACGGTCAAAGACGTCCGACAAGTGCATGTTTACGTAGAAAAAAAATAAAACAGAAAAGCAGCGCAGTAGAATGGAAAAAAGAGAATTTTTTTAATTTGAGATGCATTTATGTTTAAAATGTGACTTTTAAGTGTGCCGTGTCATGCACGAGATGATGCACAAGATGCAACAGTCAAAGATCTTCATCAAGCGCATGTTTACATAGAAAAACAACAAAAAAAGAGTGAGTTATTAGCTTTACGTTAGACGTAGAACACCTGAATTACAACACTTAATTGGTGTATGTTAGTTTTGCATTAGCTTTACCACATTTTTGACTATTTATATGTATAGTGACAGTATAAAAAGCATGATTTCAGCACAAAATTAACTAAAAACAATGCATTGTACACAGGTTAATTATAGTGAACTAAAACTAAAACTTTAACCATAATAATAATAAAATCCATCATAAAATAAGTTTGAACTGAAATAAAATAAAATATATAAAATACAAACAAAACTGAAATAAAAATTAATAAAAACTATATAAACATTAAAAAAACAAAGCTAGCAAAAATGGCAAAAACAAACAAATAAATAAAATTAAATGGAAACAGAAAATATAAAAATAAAACAAATTCAAAATAATAAAAAAAACTATAATAGGATATTAATGATTTCTGATACCTACATAAACTTTTCCTAAACTAAAACTTTAACCATAATAATAATAATAAAATCCATCATAAAATAAGTTTAAACTGAAATAAAATAAAATATATAAAATGTAACAAAATTTCTAATTTTCATTTAGTTTAACTTGATGTACAAAAATAAATAAAACTAAAACTGAAATAAAAATTAATAAAAAACTACATAAACATAAAAAAAACAAAGCTAGCAAAAAAATTACAAAAACAAACAAAAAACAAAAACAAAGAAATAAATATAATTAAATGGAAACAGAAAATATAAAAAAAATAAAACAAATTCAAAATAATTTTAAAAACTATAATAGTATATTAATGATATTGTACAGGCTAATTTACAACTCTGATACCTACATAAACGTTTCCTTAAAAAATAAACAAATAAATAAAAAGCATAATTAAAATTGAGAGCACGTCTAATTAGGTGTAAATTACTAAAAAAATGAGTACATTTCTGGTTTCTTTTTTTAAATCCAGCCCTTCACAATTACTATAAAATAACTTAAATCTTGTGTTAATCTAATTTCAGTTCGTTCCAATATTCCTTAAAAATAACAGAAATGCATGCACTTTGACTGCAGAGTTGCAGATCCGCTCCAGCTATCTTAGAGAGAGTTTGTATCATAGAGACACTTTGAAACGAGGATATTTCTGACTAGTGTCATATATCTGAGAGGTTGACTCACGGTTGCTGGAGTGCTGGTAGATCTCGCTGTAGGGCTCGATCTGGACCGTGGCTCCTCGAGGCACCTCTGGGATCCTGCCGTCCAGTTCGGTGCTGATCAGCAGGTGATCGTGTTCATCGATGCCGCCGAACTCCTGCCTGACGCTCAGCCGCTCGTTCCCGGGCTGGAAGACGACCTCGACCTGCCGCGTGAAAACCCCTCCTGCCGAGACCAGAACCCAGGTAATCCATTTAGCTTATAAAAGCGCGGGAACATTGTTTTAAAATGTTTCTAAAACACCGACATGTCTAGTTTTATTGTCGTGATCATAACGTTGTTTAAAGGTTACTGAAACGTTTCTCACAACGTTCCACTAACTTTATTTTCACTCAAGATATAACGTTATTATATTGTTTATTTTTTATATTCTAAGAACGTTAAAATGTCCAGTTTTCTTGTTGTGTTTATAACATAATAATAATAATAATAATAATGATAAAAAAACAATACAATAAATATGATTAATTATTAAATTAATTAATGGTAATAATATTGTTAACAAAATAATAACAACAATAATTATTATTATTATAAATCAATGCTATACTAAATATTATTAATTATTAAAAATCATTAATGATTAATGTTAATAATATTGTTAATATTATTAATATAATAATAATAAATATTATTAATTCATATTAATAATAACAAAGAAGTAGCTAATAGCAAAAACTCAGATTTTGAGATTTTTTGACGATATTGTGTCATTGGTTGGAAATCCAATTAATGTTTCAGTTAATATTATTAACTTAATTTAAACAATAATAACAACAACAATAACTTAATGATATTATCAATATTAATTACAATAATAACACTAATCATAGTGTTAAAGGGGTCATAGGATGCCCATTTTCCACAAGTTGATATGATTCTTTAGGGTCTTAATGAAAAGTCTGTAACATAGTTTGGTTAAAATTTCTCAATGGTAGTGTAAAAAACACCTTTTTTACCCTGTCAAAAACAGCTCTTTTCAGAGATTTTTTCATTTTTATTTAGTTTAACTTGATGTACTAAAATAACTAACCGAAACAATAAAATAAAATGACACAAAATGAAACAATAAAAAAAATGAATAAAAACTATAGATATTTTTATTAATATTTTGAATTTGTTTTTATTTTTATGTTTTATGTTTTCATTTAATTTTTGTTAGTTTTTGTAATTTATGTGTTTTTATTTAATTAGTTTTTTAACGTGTCTATATAGTTTTATCAATTTTTATTCAAGTTTTAGTTATTTTTTTTTTTAATACATATATTTTATTAAATTTTATTTTATTCTGTTAACATATATTTCAAGTAACTAAATATTTTTTTTTAATGGTTTTAGTTTTAGTTAAGTTAAATTAAATTAAATAAAAATTAATTATTGCCTTGGCAACTAGTTGAAATAAAATAAGCTTTATAAATACTTTTTTAAATTTGATTTTAATTCAGTTAATGTTTATTGTATTTCAAGTAACAAAAACATTTTTATGCTCTTATTTTTAATTAAATAAAACCCTATTGCAAACTAAACAATACATATCCTGATCATGTATGTTTAGAGTTCAAACGATGTGACCCAGTGTTATTTTAATATCATTAAAATATACTATCATCATTTTTAATTAATATTTTGAATTTTTTTATATTTTCTGTTTTCATTTAAATTTTAGTTAAAGTTTTAGCATTTTTTGTATTTTTGTCAATTTTATTACCATTAGTTTTTTTTTTTATATGTCTATATAGTTTTAATATTTTTTTTTATTTCAAATTTTAACATTTCCAATACATATCCTGATAATGTATGTTTAGAGTTAAAACGATGTGACCCAGTGTTATTTTATTATCATTAAAATATACTATAATACTTTATTAATATTTTGAATTAGTTTTTATTTTTTCATTTTCAACAACGGGATCACTCACTGCTCAGATATGATATTCAGGGATTTATTGTTGTTTAGTAGGAACGGATGAAGTTCATAGTATTGCATGGGATCAGGTTTATTATCATTAGCTAAAGCTAAAACTTTAGTTCATTACCTGAAATAAAATAAATGTTAACTGAAATAAAATAAAATATTAAAAATATATAAAAAATTATTTTATTTCAGTTTGTCGTCAAAGCAACATTTTTTCATTTTTATTTAGTTTAACTTGATGTACTAAAATAACTAACTGAAACAATAAAATAAAATGACACAAAATGAAACAATAAAAAAAATGAATAAAAACTATAGACATTTTTATTAATATTTTGAATTTGTTTTTATTTTTATATTTTCTGTTTTCATTTTAATTTTAGTTCAAGTTTTAGCATTTTTTGTATTTGTCAATTTTATTACCATTAGGTTTTTTTTTTATATGTCTATATAGTTTTAATATTTTTTTTTATTTCAAATTTTAACATTTCCAATACATATCCTGATAATGTATGTTTAGAGTTAAAACGATGTGACCCAGTGTTATTTTATTATCATTAAAATATACTATAATACTTTATTAATATTTTGAATTAGTTTTTATTTTTTCATTTTCATTTTAGTTCAAGTTTTACTAATTATATTTTGAATTAGTTTTTATTTTTTCATTTTCACTTAAATTTTTGTTCAAGTTTTAGCAATTATATTTTGAATTAGTTTTTATTTTTTCATTTTCATTTTAATTTTAGTTCAAATTTGACAGATTTTGCTGTTTGTTCACTTTTTGTTTAAAAAAAAAAAATTTTTTTATTATTTTTTATTTCAGTTTTAGTTTTAGATACTTTAGTGATAAACAAAAATTATAAATGTTGCCTTGGCAAAGAACTGAAATAAAATAAGTTTTTTAAAATATATTTACAATTTATTTTATTTTATTTCAGTTGACTTTAAGTGAAGAGATTTTTTTATTTTAATTGTTATTTAACCCTGGTTAACGTTGCGACTCACCCTCGGCGACGCAATCCTTGCCGTTGCCGTAGTAACCGGGTTTGCAGTGACAGCAGAATCCGTCAGCGTAATCTCTGCAGTCCGCGAACACAGAGCACTTGTGCTTGTTGCTGGAGCACATCTCGTAATTATAAGAGAACACTGCCAGAAAATATAAAGAAACATTTGATATGGACACACAGTTCAGACTTGTTAGGCTGAATATAATCAGTGTTTTTCTCTCACCGTCGACGTTCAGCTCGTCTTCATCGATGATCAGCACCTGCGGGTTCTGCGGCCGCTGCTGAGGCTGAACATAACGATGCTGAAGCTCGTCAGGGGTCGACGACTCTCCGAACGGCTCTGGACTAGTGGTGAGCGTTTCATACGGTGCTTCGGAGGTCTGAAGCTCTTCACGGTGTCGAATCCACGGGACTGACGGCTCAGGGACCGGAGAGTCCACCATAGTCTCCTCAGACGTGACCTCCGTGACCTCTCCGGGCGTGATGGAGGTGAATAACGGAGACGTGCCGATCTCGTAGACCCACACGCCAGGCCGGCCCGAGTTTGTCTCCCTGAGAAGATTGGATAGGAGTTGCAACACATTCATATTTAATAATAAGAACCGTGGGAAAAATGAGCACAGGTGTGTTCTGATGGGAGAATAAATAAAATGCTATTAAATAAATTAAACACTAAAATATAGTAAAATGCTATTTATAAAACGGAGAGTTCCGGTGCTTGATTCTGATTGGCTGAAGCATTGTTCGAAGCTGTTGTAAATGACTCTACAAAGTAACACACACCTTTGTTTACGTTTGTCTGTTGCTCGGCAACCACTTTGTAGCAACCACAACTGTTTCTGAGGAGCTACATTGTTTGGTGGAAGAATACTGTTTTTATTAATATCATTACACTTTATTTGCTCTGCTTTATTTTGTGAAACCTTACTACGTATATGGAATAACCGTTTTATAAAAGCAATAAGCCCCGTGAAGCCGTGGTTTACAGTGAATTAATAATAGCTAAGGGGGTTTACTCCGCTTCACGTCGTACCTAACAACGCCACTTAGCTGTTATAAATTCACTGTAAACCACGGCTTCACGGGGCTTATTGCTTTTATAAAACGGTTATTCCATATAACACACACACACACACACACACACACACACACACACATTTATATATAGTGTGTGTGTTATTAATGTTTGTTTTAAAAATCATCTTATCATGTCAGTATGATCAGTTTTAACAGACTTATCAGTTTTTAAAAAGGGAGATGTTTTATTGTCCGATTAAACACTACAGTAATTCAGCACAAATTCATTCACTTAATATTTAATATAGAGATTTACTGTTGTTTAGTAAAAAACGGGGACATTTTATTGTCGGATTTATTTTATTTTCCGAATAAACTCTATAGTAATTTGGCACAAACTCATCATAGGTAGGTGTTTTATTTTAACATATTAATCACTTTCATATTTGTGACCCTGGAGCACAAAAGCAGTCTTAAGTCGCTGGGGTATATTTGTAGCAATAGCCAACAATACATTGTATGGGTCAAAATTATCGATTTTTCTTTTATGCCAAAAATCATTAGGATATTAAGTAAAGATCATGTTCCATGAAGATATTTTGTAAATTTCCTACCGTAAATATATCAAAACTTAATTTTTGATTAGTAATATTCATTACTACGAACTTCATTTGGACAACTTTAAAGGCAATTTTCTCAATCACGGGGCTTTTTGCTCTATTTTATTAATAGCATTTTAATCATATAATCATTAATCACCATAATCATTTAAAAAAAATGTATATGTGTTTGTATCAGGGTTATTAAAGTTAACTAAAACTATAAAACACATTTTGGTTACCTGAAATAAAAACAAATGTTAACTGAAAAAAAAAAAGTTATTTTATTCCAGCTAGTTGCCAAAGCAAGTTAATTTAGTTTAACTTGATGTACTTAAATAACTAAAACTATAATAAAAATTAATTAAAAAAATATTAAATATTTAAATATATTGTTATTATTTATTTATTCAGCTCTCAGATGATGCATACATCTCAATTTCCAAAAATTGACCCTTATGACTGGTTTTGTGCTCCAGGGTCACATATATCTATTTTTTTTATTTTACTTTTCGAACAAAACCACTGCTTTTATGATTAACTGGCTCTCATGAAAATCGAGGGAGCCCAGATTAATAATGCACCAACAACTACGTTTAGAAGTAGGCACTTACTGTGCGAGAGCGTTTATTGACTCCTCGCTGTCTTCAGAGATGCGATAGTAAGATCCCTGAGTGGTCGCCCACCCGAACCATCCCGGGACCTTCCCTTCATTGAAGCCGACCTCAACCAGCTGATCTTCATCATCAATGAGAGTGGAGCCGAACTGCATGCTCTCCTCTGGATACAGCAGGATGCCGTAAGACGCAGACTCCATGTTTGCTACAACCAGCTGGAAAGTATTTCTCTGCAACAGATTTATAACAAGCTTGCATTTCAGGAAGGAAAAGCAATGTTAATTATCTGTCATGTTTAAGAGCTGGATAATGACACTATTGTCTTTTTAGTGCTGCTTTACAGATTAGAACTGAATCTGCATAGCTGAAGAAATTTGCAACATTAAAACTATGTTCCTGATTATCACGGTGAAGCTGCTTTGAAACAATCTGTACTGTATAAAGTGCTATAGAAGTAACTGTGCCTTATAATAATGCATATTCTTGCATATTGCAAGATTTTTTTTTTGTGCATATTCTTGCATACTGCAATAAAAAACTTGCATATTCTTCTATACTGCAGAAAACCTTGCCTACTCTTGCATATTTCAAGACAATAAGTTTGCATATTCATGCATTTTGCAATAAAAACCTGCATAATTTGTATATTCTTGCATACTGCAAAACAATAACTCTGCATATTCTTCCATACTGCAGGAAAAAAAAAACTTTGCATATCCTTGCATGTTTCAAGACAATAACTCTGCATATTCATGCATATTGCAATACAAAAACTGCATATTCTTGCATATTTCAAGACAATAATTGCATATTATTGCATTTTGCAAGACAATAACTTTACATTTTCTTGTAAACTGCAATAAAAATAGCATATTCTTGCATATTGCAGAAAACTTTGCCTATTCTTGCATATTTCAAGACAATAACTTTAAATTTCTTGTATATTGAAATAAAAAAACAGCATATTCTTCCATACTGCAGGAAAAAAACGTTGCATATTCATGCATTTTGCAATAAAAACCAACATATTTGCTTATCTCAAGACAATAACTTTGCATATTCATGCATATTGCAATAAAAACCAGCATACTTTGTATATTCTTGCATATTGCAAAACAATAGCTCTGCATATTCTTGCAGACTGCAATAAAAACTTAAATAAAGGTGACTTGACTTGTAGACGCTTTTGTGCCGGCTTAATAACTTAATAACATTAATAACATTCAGAGTTGAGGGACGTACCGCATATTCACCTCCTGTTCCTCGTTCACCTTGAGGCGCCACATTCTCCCAGGTGACGATGATGGCGTGAGTGGGTTCGATCTCGTCGTCAGAAGGAAACGCTTGGCCGATGTGCTCTGCGGCTCTCTGGAGCACATCAGGGCTTTTATCCTGGCGGAAATAGACATAACCGGCCCCATCGGTGGTGTCCAGATCTCCCAGGAAGGCTGCAATCATACCAAAACTGGCCGGCATCTTCCCCAGGTACTCGGACTCATCAGTCGGGTCAGTCAGCGAGATGAAGCCATTGGTGTTGACCTGCAGAGGGTGTCACATGAAACACAAATAAGTACAGATCTAAACCAGTATGGATCCGTTATGCGCTTCGTATGACAGTGGCTATGAGAGAAACTGATATGTACAGGTAAAATAAATGAGTTTTGAATTAAATGACACCCTGAGTGCTAATGTATTACACTTATGTGCATAACTTGAAGGAATAACAATTCATATAATGTGGCTTGTTGAGGAGAGGTAGAAAAGGTGAAAAATTCTACAGACATGCATATGTAGAGAGCTTCTAGAGAACTTCTTTTCTTGTGTATTGCACAAAAATTTCATATATTTTTGAATATTGCAATAAAAAACATTACATATTATTGCATAATGCAAGAAAAAAACATTGCATTCTTGCATTTTGCAATAAAAAAATGTTGCAAATTTTTGCATACTGCAAATTACAAAGTTGCCTATTCTTGCATATTGCAATAAAAATGTTGCATATTCTTGTGCATATTCTTGCATATTGCAAGACAAAAACACTGCATATTCTTGCATATTGCAATAAAAATGTTGCATATTCTTGTGCATATTCTTGCATATTGCAAGACAAAAACACTGCATATTCTTGCATATTGCAATAAAAAAGTAGCATATTCTTACATATTGCAATAAAAATGTTGCATATTCTTGCATATTGCAATAAAAATGTTGCATATTCTTTTGCATATTGCAATAAAAAAAAAAAATATATATATGCAAAAAAATGCATATTCTTGCATATTGCAATAAAAATGTTGCATATTCTTTTGCATATTGCAATAAAAAAAAAAAATATATATATGCAAAAAAATGCATATTCTTGCATATTGCAATAAAAATGTTGCATATTCTTTTGCATATTGCAATAAAAAAAAAAAATATATATATGCAAAAAAATGCATATTCTTGCATATTGCAATAAAAAAGTTGCATATTCTTTCATATTGCAATAAAGCCGTGGCATATTCCTGCATATCGCAATAAAAAGTTGCATATTCTTGCATATTGCAATAAAAAAATGTTCAATATCCTTGCATATTGCAATTAAAAAATTAGCATATTCTTGCATATTGCAATAAAACTGCACAAAAGCAGTTTCCAGCAGAAATCAATGAAGGGATCAATAAAGCATAAAAACAGCCCTGCTTTTAAATCACTGTAAAAACTGATGTGTTCTTCTTAAAAATGTTTTTAATAGCAGGCATAAATTTTGCTTTGTTTAGTAATAATTAATTCGAGTGAGAATCACTCATTAAATCTTAAATTGCATGAAATCCAAGTAAAAATCACTGTCTGTTCTGAAAAACTGCACGCAATAAAAATGTTGCATATTCTTTTGCATATTGCAATAAAAAAAATAATAATATGCAAAAAAAATGCATATTCTTGCATATTGCAATAAAAATGTTGCATATTCTTTTGCATATTGCAATAAAAAAATTATAATATGCAAAAAAATGCATATTCTTGCATATTGCAATAAAAATGTTGCATATTCTTTTGCATATTGCAATAAAAAAATTATAATATGCAAAAAAATGCATATTCTTGCATATTGCAATAAAAATGTTGCATATTCTTTTGCATATTGCAATAAAAAAATTATAATATGCAAAAAAATGCATATTCTTGCATATTGCAATAAAAAAGTTGCATATTCTTTCATATTGCAATAAAGCCGTGGCATATTCCTGCATATCGCAATAAAAAGTTGCATATTCTTGCATATTGCAATAAAAAAATGTTCAATATCCTTGCATATTGCAATTAAAAAATTAGCATATTCTTGCATATTGCAATAAAACTGCACAAAAGCAGTTTCCAGCAGAAATCAATGAAGGGATCAATAAAGCATAAAAACAGCCCTGCTTTTAAATCACTGTAAAAACTGATGTGTTCTTCTTAAAAATGTTTTTAATAGCAGGCATAAATTTTGCTTTGTTTAGTAATAATTAATTCGAGTGAGAATCACTCATTAAATCTTAAATTGCATGAAATCCAAGTAAAAATCACTGTCTGTTCTGAAAAACTGCACATTATTAGATGTTTTTCTGCAGGAACAGACACAACATCATCAGACCTGACGCCTAAAACAAACAGCGATGATTTTCTGTGATCTTTCTTTCCTAACCGTGATGGTGCTTGTTACAGTCGAATGCCTTCACACTTCAAAAGGTTTTGTGACATTTAAACTCAGTGTGTTTGTGTGCTTTTCTTTAACGAGTTTCTGGCAACTTTAAAGTAAAACCGCAGGGGAGCCGCAAAGCATGTGAGAAGAAGGTCTCCTCTAATTCCTTACTGCTTGGGTTAAAATCTAAACATTAGTTCTGTTAGAAAATCCAGACTGGCTTCTCAGGATCTTGAACCTCAAATAACGGAGGACGTTCTTCACACCAAAGTGACAAAATCAAACCCCCACAATCTGTGTTTGACGTCTGCTGGTTGTTGAACCGCTAACCTGACATGCATGAGTCTGGAAATACAGCAATTAAAACACAAGATTAGTCTTTTGAAACCATTTCAATCCAATGCATTTCCTGTAGCAACAACAGGCCTTAATGTTCTAAGTAATGTTCTTCAAAACCATTCAAGCGCCAAAAGTTCAAAGAAAAACCCTGAAACCCCGATAACTGTGCTTTTGTCCTAAAGAGATGCATGCATGAGTGATAGAAGCAGTTGGATGGATCTGTAAGAGCAGCAAACAGCAGGTATTGACTCAAGCTTGATGGAGACGCGTAGAATCTCTGACACCTGAAACAAACGTTTAAAGGATTAACACACTTTTCTTGGGTCATTTGCAGTTTCGGCAAGTGATCTGATGGAAGAAGTCTCTGTTTCTAGGGGTCAAAATAATTCACACAAGTCTCAAATTACACAACAGATTCTCCTCAAACTTCTGCTATTATTTAGTGGCATTTGCACAAGTCAAGCATCACTATTACTAAAGTTCATAGTTTGAAAAAACTTCTAAGCCAGTGGTTCTCATCCAGGGGGCCAAACTTCCCTATGATTTGAAATAAGACAAAACAAGCATTAAAATAAGCTAAAAATCAAGATATTTCTGTTTTTTAAACACCCCCTCAACAACTGTTTTTCTCTTTGAAGAACCATCATAGAAAATCTGGATATATGATGAAAAGTCATTTTTAAAACGTGATTTCTAGACCTGAAAAAGTCATTGAAATTAATAAAATCTTAAAACAGCATCCATTTTTATAATGAATATACATTTAACTCGTCATCTTGTGCACTGTAAAAATTTATTTTTCTAAGTTGTAAATAAAACAAAAATGACTGAAGTACATTTTACATGAAAACACAATTTCAGTGTTTCTACTTCAAAATTAAGTAAGTTTAATTCAATGTGTCATATGCAATTTCTTCAAATTTTATTCAGTGTAGAAACTGAGAGCTAAATATTTTTAAAGACCATTATCCTTTATCCTTATCCAGTAAATCGCAAATGACTGGACAAATCATGCAAATTGGAAAATATTCTGCAATCCTTGAAGAACATTCAGCTCTTAAAACGGCTGAAATTATTTAATCAATGAATTACTGAAATCTAATTATTTAACTGACGGCTCTAGCTGAGCAGTTAATATTGCAATAATAAACTTTACATATTCTTGTATATCGCAATGAAAACGTTGCATCTTCTTGCATATTGCAATAATACATTTGACATATTCTTGCATATTAAAATAAAAAAAAACTAGCATCTTCTTGCTCTGCAATAAAAAACTTTGGATTGTCTTGCATATTGCAGGACAAAAACATTGCATATTCTTTACATATTGCAAATTTGATTAAGTGTAGAAATTGTGAGTAAAAAAAATAATAAAGATCCTTATCCTTTATCCTTATCCAGTAAATCACAAAGGACTTGAAGTAATGCAGATGGAAAAGGCCGGGATCCTTGAAAAACATGAATTCCAAAAACTTTGCATATTCTTCCATACTGCACTAATAAACTACATATTCTTGTATACTGCAATAAAAAAACTCTGCATCTTCTTGCATATTGCAATAAAAAACTTTGGATATTCTTGCTTGCTGCAGGACAAAAACATTGCAAAAAAGTCATGCAAATTAAAAAGACCAGGATGCTTGAAGAACATTCAGCTCTTAAAATTTCTGGAATCGAGAAATTTAATGAATTAAAAGAAACTAGAAGTGTTGGCTTTTCAATATTGATGTGAATAATGGAGGGTTATAGAGTCATAAAGGTTGAGGTCCACTTCTAAACTCACATACAGAAATTAACAATGATAACTCTTGGCTTTATGGAAGATTGAGCACAGAATCAGAGTCATGCCGTAGATCCGAGCGCTGACCCACTAATCCAGCCCTTCAAGCTGCTCCTCCACATGCATCGCCTCAAGGGAGGCCAGGAGAAATCAAAGCCACCTGGAGGAGACGCGACACAACCTCGACCCAGACGGCAGGGGTACGGGAAACAAACGAGGAGGTAAAGAAGAAACAGATCGAGTCTGATGCATCGCTCAAATTCCTGTGAGAAAATCCCCAAAACAAGACGAAACGGAAATTAAACCCTATAGAGTGGTAAAGCTCTGCATGCTACCAACACAGCTCCCTAAGACTTCTCAACTGAAAAAGTCAAGTCAAATTTATTTTTATAGCACAATATGCATCGTTTCAAAGCAGAAAAATTATTTAGTTTCTAGCCCTATAGGGTTCAAAAGTTATTAGCATAAACGTGAGTGCAACTTTGGACAGTTGGTGGCGCTAGAGAGATTGAGGTAGAGACTGCAAATTTGGTGTGGTTAATATTCAGACTGTCCTCTATCTGCGTACCAAATTTCATAACTTTTTACCATACGGTTCTATGGGAAGTCATAGACTCTAGAGCAGAAAAAGAAGACTAACGGATACAATAGGTGCTTACCCCCTTTGGTGATTGGCCCCTAAAAACACTGAAGCCAATATTTGGTGATATGGCACTAGAGAGATTGAGGTAGAGACTCCAAATTTGG